AATAGCCTTTGTGCACAGCCAGCCTTGTACTCTTCTAGGTTCAAAAAACTGTCGTCCATAGAATGCGTTTCACAAATTCGAACATCTGGGTTGTGCTGTTCTGTTGTAAATAAATCTTAACCAATGATTCCTAATTGCATCTACTTCCGGAAGGCCAAATAAAGTGCTTTTGCTTTCGCACTGAATCACACAGCGTCTCCCTGACATGCTGCATCAACACTACTGCTGATCCTGAAACCACGCCTTCTTTCTTTGCGTGCACATTTGGGCGGCATTATGCTAATATTTCCACATAGTGACCTAGATATGTGGGGGCATGTTAGAACGAGCCGTTTTAGGTAGGTGTGGCTGACTCTTAACTTTTATAAAGAATATCTCTTTGGATTTGAGACTTTTGCAACTTTACAGATCTTCTTTATGCACCAAGAGCTTGTAACACTCCAAAGAGAAAGGAAAACTTGAAATCGCATCATATGACCCCTTTAATATCTAACAGAATTTGTTTGCTGGAGATAAAACGTAATTTCTCTCTCGCTGTAGTCATGACTGATGAACAGAAGGCCAGACATTGCACCAAGAGACCAATGACAAAAGAAGACTATGAGGCCAGGCAAAGCATCATCCGCCGGGTCCTGGACCCCGAGACGGGGCGAACCAGGTAAGTTTCCATCAGCCTGCTCCATCCACAAGACAATGAAACGTTAACGTGATGAACTTTCATGCAGGCTCGTACGAGGCGATGGGGAAATCTTAGAAGAAATTGTCAGCAAGGAGCGACACAAGGAAATCAACAAGGTGCATGTCTTACGGAACCTTTCTGTGAATAGGAAAAATATTTCAAATCGTCATCATTTCTTCTTGTTTCTCACACAGCAAGCCACTAAGAGAGATGGTGATGGCTTCCAGAAGAGAGTGGGCATCAATAGGTAGCGAGGTGTGCATTTCGAGACAACTTCAAGCCAATCCAAAGCCTTCTCCTGCATTTATACAAGAATTCAACTATTTCTTCATTTCTTAGTTCTTGGTTTAGATTCCTCCCCAGTTACTAAATATCACAGAAATGTGATTCCAGAACAACAGTTTGCCCTCAGATATTGTATTGTAATGTCCTGGCGGCTAAATGAGGCGAATTAATTCATAGTCAAAGCAGGAAGAGTCTGGATCTCATTTTTCTGTTAATGTAGAAATTGGCTAATTTATTTGCAGTCTGATGGTTTTCACTCCCACCGAAGCTCAGCATCTCTTAAATATCAACTGATGGTATTACAGAGGACTGCCGCAACATCAATAAAATATCTTTCTTACACATTATGTTGGTTTTCTCCTTTCTTTAAAATAGGAGAGGATTGCATCGAAACTGTATTCAATACATTTCGAATATATTTGTACATATAAGTGCATTCGTTTGACTTATTGAGCCAATGCAGTGTATCAGTCGGAGCATGCAGGATTCATTTGTAAATGAATTGTTATTGTTGACGTCCGTAATATATAGTGTCAGTTTGCGCTTGGTAAGTGTTACGTATAAGTTGTTTAGATGTGTGTGCCTATTGAATACTCTATGTATGTAATATTAAGCAGGAAATATGAAACATCAACATATCTCTGGGATTATTCGCAGAAACTGATTTGAATACATTATACAATAAATATTACACACCTCCAATATTGTATTGCACTAAATTGCATTAACATTCAAGGTGTTCTAAATAAGTGTTATAAAACGGAGAGTTCCGGTCCTTGATTCTGATTGGTTGAGCCAAGTTCAAAGCCGTTGTAAATTACTCTACAAACACACACCTTTGTTTACATTTCTGTGTTGCTCGGCAAGCACTTTGTTGGAACCACACCTGTTTCTGAGGAACTACATTGTTTGGCTGAAGAATACTGTTTTTATTTAAATAATTACACTTTATTTGCTCTGTTTTAATTTGTGAAAACTTACTACGTATATGGAATAACCGTTTTATAAAAGCAATAAGCCCCGTGAAGCCGTGGTTTACAGTGAATTTATAACAGCTAAGGGGCGTTGTTAGGCACGAGCTGTTATAAATTCACTGTAAACCACGGCTTCACGGGGCTTACTGCTTTATTTGGTTGCTCAGTAAATGTAAACAAATATTATTGTGACAGTTCTTGTTTTGTTTGTTACTACAGTTACCAGGGAATCAAATGCAAAGAATAACTTTACATTTTTTTTTTGTTTTCTTGTAAGGTGTTTAAATATTGCTGGCCCACTTTGACTGAATGGTTTAGATGAAGTGCGCAACCTTTAACCTTCAGTTATTATTCTCTAGTCTAATTCATTAAATACATTGGCATTCACTGGTCATTTTATAGTTGACATGTATAGTCTACTTTTTTTTAGAAAACAGAAATGGGTGTGCAGTCAGGAAATTCAAACCAGGAATGGAAGAGAGGAAGGCGAGGCATGAGGTTAAGTCTGTGGTGTAAAGAAGAGCAAAATGTAGATGCAGAATAGAAATGGAGGCAATTAAAGTTCATTTAAAGTGTTTAGAGAACAGACAGAAAAAAAAGGTTTTACGTACCCTTTTAAATGTTCCTCTTAATTCAGTTTTTGTTAGCCTATTTGTTGCTGCATGTCTTATAGTCACATTTTTAATGTTCCTTTTCATCAATATTCAGATTTCATCAAATTTAATGTCAATACTATAATTGGAGGATTAGGATATATTAGCATATTGTCACAGATGCTTATAAAAATGTTTCATAGTAATAATATTATTCTTTGTAATTCATTAATACATTGACAAGAATATAAAAAAAACAGTAAAACTAAAAAAGTATGAGTTTTTTTGTGAAGCAGTCTCTTTTTTCCTCTTTGAATACATATACTATTTATAAACAGTATTTTACTATATAACTGGGAAATAGCGAATATGTCATGTCGGAAGTACGTCACGAAGCACGACGCTAGTAGTTTACTATGGAGTCAAAATAATGCCACATATATATGCAACATAATAAAGTTTTGCAAAAGAAAATAAAGTTTTGCAAAAGAAAATAAA